AAACAATTTAAAAGTATTTTATAACTAATTTTAAGACATTTTTGTTCTTTGAAAATTTTTATGAAAATCTATAGTATTCGAGAAAAAAATTTGTAAATTTTTAGATAAAAAATTTTCACTTCGGCCGCCATTTTTTTATACGAAAAATTTTTATATCCGGAGAACCGTACTAACTTGTAGTTAAAATCTCGAGGCCGCGATCTATAGAGGTTTTAGGCATTAAAAAAAATGCTTAGGGAACGAAAAGTTGATTTAGAAAAAAAATGAAATCAGAAAATCATGTTTTTAACACATGATTGAAAGGCGGAGGCTTGCAGCAGTCGAAGTCGCTTTCTGACAATATGAGTATTTTCACGCATGTGAACGATCATGCCAGAGACGACCAGTATCCTCCAATGAACCACGGAACTCCATGGGCAAGTCGAGAATCAAGAGTTCAGATCTGTCCTTGAGACTCACCAGGGACTTTAAGCTCTTTACCTCATCCGCAATATGGTCGACCTTGGCGAGTACAGAAGCCTGGCCAGCTCTAATCTCGTTTCGGAAGTTGGAGAACTCGCTACTGACGAAGTTAGAGAACCAAGCTGGGGGCAGACCACCCATGTCGGAGGAGGCAATGTCCAGCGAGGAAGCCCGATCAGCAAGAGGAACAGACACAGCCGGGAATGACACCAGTAAACCGCCAGGAACTGAGAAAGCGTTTGAGCGCTTTAATTTGGTCACCTTGGAAAGCGGCAACCGCTCAGGTGAAGCCGTCTCTCACAGTTTATAGCTCTTATGAGCAAAGGTGCGTTGACAAAAGTGAGAGAGGTTTTAGTGAGAGGGGATATTAAATTTCCGTCACTAGATTTGAAGGGATTTGAGGAGAGGGTAGACGCTGAAAAACAAGCACCGCAGATAAAAAATTCAAAGCCAACTTCGGCTGGGGTGAGGTTGACACAGTGCTAATGGAAAAGCTCAGTATAACGGACACACTGTACCAATCTGCTGTTTCGTCGACTCAAAATGCCACCACACTCAGGACATACAGTTTCCGCGATCCTTTCCCCTTCTAATACTCTTCGATCACCTGCTCCTTGACTTCTTACGTCGAGAGAGCAATTAATAGGGAAACAGCTACGTCGAACAGCTTCACCCAGATACGAAGCCGGCTGAGCCATCGAGCGAAGATTCAGTGTCTCCCCCATATGTGTGACCTTGCCACGAACACGGCGCACTTCGGGCACTAGCACACACTCTCGGTCACGTATGCTGCGACATCCCTTCACCCGAATATTCGCCTCGTTACAATACATTTGTATTTTTTATATGTGTAATTTTTATTCAAGTGAAGCAGTTTATGATAACGATTGTATATACTACAAATGAAGAGATTGCTTTGTTGCCTAGAAATTACAAGGATATATATAGAAATTGATTTTGATTATTTTATTCAATTAGTGATTGACTTTTTTTCAAATCAAATTTTAAAATATATTATTTATTAAGTCCATATCTTCAAATAGAAATGATTATAAATTGTAATTTTCTAAATAAATAATTAACCAATTTATGAATTCATATTGATAAAATTATTTACTGTGATATTTAAATACTAGAAGGTGCGGTTATTCTATTTTTTTCGAATATCAAAGAATAATCTAGAGAGGATGGAAAATTCAGAAAATGAGAAATATTCATCTAAGATAAAGCTCGATGATATCTATGGATCCTAGATATGCTTTAGATATTGAAAATAAATTCTTTTAATGTATTATGGGAATATTCAAAAATATCACAGGTCCACAAAATTTAATGAATTTTTAGTTACAAAAACTAGAGCGTACTTTCCCGAAGCATTTTGGGGTGCTGAATCCGAATCTGGCCACAGAATTGCTCCATCACTTCTGGTTTTCGAGATATTCTAACCTAAAAGTGTGAAAAAAGCGGTTTTTGTCTATTTTTGAGGTTATGTAGCATCTTGAAAAAATTTTTCAGCCAAAAACCGTTCAGACCTTTTTAAAGTATAGGTCTCCATCTTTCAAATCGTGTTGAGTTTGTTCAGATATCTTTTTTTTGCTAAGATATCGCATTATAAAGTTTCATAGTTTTCAAAAAGCCTACAAACCATATGCTTGTATAATATAACAAAGAATCCGAATTCATTGTGTTGTGAGATGTAATTATTATTATAACAAAAGCTATTTTATTCGCTACTCCTAGATTTAGGTAAATTTGACTGCTTGTGGATTAAAAGAGGTGGGATTAGTAGGAGTGGGATGAGTTTGGGGTGTGTAGGATTTAGTCTGTAGGGTTTAGGGTTATTGGATTTAGGGTTGCTAAGTTTGGATTGTCAGGTTTGAGGTTATTGAATTGAAGTTTAATTATTTGGAATTCGTGAATTCGGATTCTCTGTTATACTAAATAAGCATATGGTTTGTAGGCTATTTGAAAACTATGAAACTTTATAATACGATATCTCAGTAAAAGAAAAGATATCTGAACAAACTCAACACGATTTGAAAAGTAGAGACCTATACTTTAAAATGGTCTGAACGGTTTTTGACTGAAAAACTTTTTCACGATGCTACATAACCTCAAAAATGGACAAAAACCACTTTTTTCACACTTTTAGGTTAGAATATCTCGAAAACTAGACGTGATGGAGCAATACTGCGGCGAAATTCGGATTCAGCACACCAAAATGCTTTGGAAAAGTATACTCTAGTTTTTGTAACTTTACCCTTCTCGGCCTGTGTATTTAATGTATATTCAAGAATACTAATATAAGAATTTTACCAAATGAAATTGAATTTTCAAATTTTCTGTTAAATATCGAAAATGGTTGCTACGAAATTCTTATAATATCAAATTGTATGTCAACGAGAGAGAGAGAAAGATGTTAGGATAGGAAAAAAGTAGAGTACTCAATAAAAATTATGCAATTACACAGGTCGACAAAAAATTTTACCAAGAACCCGAGTATAGTTTTCCGAAGGTTTTTTGCGCGCTGAATCCGAATCCGAGGTCAGAATTACTCTGGTGGCTCCGGTTTTCGAAATATCCTAACCTTAAAGTGCAAAAAACGCGATTTTTGCCTATATTTGAGGTTATGTAGCAAAGAAAAGAAATTTTTTTTCAAAAAACTGTATACATCAAATTAAAGTATGAGTTTTCTTCTTTCAAATGCCGTTGAGTATGCTCGGATATCTTTTTTTTTCACGAAGTTACACAAATTTGAAAATTTCAAATTTTATGAATTTAAAAAGCACCACACCATTCAGCCCAAGCTATCTAACAAGTAACCATATTAAAGAGCCACTCACCAATTTAAACCAAACTTGGAAATATGACAAAACACTAAAAAATATTGTGAGCATCGTGCTTCTATTTACAAAATGCTCTCTTACGGGTAGAAATCACCCCTGCCAACCCCTAAACAGGCTCACCCATATAACCCTGGGTAGAGCAAGTTTAATTAACTGCTTTTTGATAAAAAAACTCATTTTCTAATCACAGGTATGCGTACTAATCTCGACCTAGATAAGCCTCATCCCCAAATACCTGCTGAACCCTTTAAAACCAGCCCTCCCAACCGCGTACAAAAAATAAGCTGCGTATGTCTATCTGTGATTAATTCCTTCATCGAATTTCACATGATTAAAATAGCTTACCCAGGGTTCTATGGTTAGCCTGCCCAAGGGTTTTTAAGGGTTGTACATGTATACATGTGTACATGTCTATTTGTGATTAAAAAATTAATTTTTTCATCAAAAAGGATTTAATTAAACTTGGTGTAACTAGGGTTACGTATATAAGCCTGCAAGGGGTAGATAGGGGTGGCTTTTAACCCTTTTCGGCATACATTTTTCTATTGACTATTCTGGCTTAAAATTTCTTACTCGGGGGTTTTCGGGGTCGCTGAATACGAATCTACAGTCAGAATTTTCATTTTTGAAAATCCAAGATGGCAGATTCAAGATGGTGGATGAAAATCATAGAATCAGCATATTTTTGGTTGGAAATTAGTACTCGGGGGTTTTCGAGGTCGCTGAGTTCGAATATACTACCAAAATTTCGTTTTTTCAAATCCAAGATGGCGAACGCCAGATAGCGAATTCAAAATGGTGGAGGATATTTTTTTGAAATCAATACTTCGCTCGAAAAATAGTAACTTGAAGGGTTTCCAAAACCCCCGAGAATGAGTTTTTTTTACCGAAAAGCAGTTGATTAATCTTGCTCTACCCAGGGTCATGTGGGTGTGCCTGCTTAGGGGTTGGTAGGGGTGGTTTTAAAGGGTTCAGCAGGTATTTGGGGATGAGGCTTATCTAGGTCGAGATTAGTACGCATACCTGTGATTAGAAAATGAGTTTTTTTATCAAAAAGCAGTTAATTAAACTTGCTCTACCCAGGGTTATATGGGTGAGCCTGTTTAGGGGTTGGCAGGGGTGGTTTCTACCCGTAAGAGAGCATTTTGTAAATAGAAGCACGATGCTCACAATATTTTTTAGTGTTTTGTCATATTTCCAAGTTTGGTTTAAATTGGTGAGTGGCTCTTTAATATGGTTACTTGTTAGATAGCTTGGGCTGAATGGTGTGGTGCTTTTTAAATTCATAAAATTTGAAATTTTCAAATTTGTGTAACTTCGTGAAAAAAAAAGATATCCGAGCATACTCAACGGCATTTGAAAGAAGAAAACTCATACTTTAATTTGATGTATACAGTTTTTTGAAAAAAACTTTCTTTTCTTTGCTACATAACCTCAAATATAGGCAAAAATCGCGTTTTTTGCACTTTAAGGTTAGGATATCTCGAAAACCGGAGCCACCAGAGTAATTCTGACCTCGGATTCGGATTCAGCGCGCAAAAAACCTTCGGAAAACTATACTCGGGTTCTTGGTAAAATATTTTTGTCAAATTCTGTCGACCTGTGTTATATAAGTATATTCATATATGCTAAGGAACGAGGTAACTAAAGGGAAAGTGTGAATGAAAAAAAAGCAAGGAACAAGATACTTACATTTGGCGCGAATGATTGGAGACGCAAAGATTAACCAACGCGGATGCAGGCCTCAAGGCGTAACGCGGTTGAGAATGCAAACGGCTCTGAGTAACGAGCTGCTGGCGAAACCGCGCCTGTGCATGAGGATCGTAGAGATCCGCGTTCGAGTCTGAAGCATGAGTGATTGCCTCAGGCAGATGTAAATCCATCAGATGCGCCATCTCAGGTGACGGGGAAAGAAACTCGCCACTTTTCACTGTGCTGATAAAGGGTCGAGGATGATGTGCGCAGCTTGTCTTGGCTACCAACTGGCGCTGAACGTTGCGAAGCTTGGCGCTCAGTAGCTTGTTGAATTTCTCCGTCGATAGATGCAGTTGCTGACTCGTGCTTGTAGCATGTTGCTTACCTCGATCGTGTAAATTACTCTGACTCTTATTCTGCTCGTGACTGCAAGCCCACAGCCGGTTAAGGAAGTTGTGTTCCAACTTTTCGCCTGAGCGACTTAGCTCCCGGACATTTGGCTCCGTCTCAACCGCGAACAGACCGACATTGATCGCAGTAATCCTTGAGTCAGATGAGCCCCTCTCCTCGTCCTCGTCTGCGTTTCTGTGTCCGCGCCGATCAATTCTGATTTTGATTCGGTCATTGATATAAGGAGGCGGCAGATTCAAGTCGGAAACGTCTGTCTACAGGATGGAGAAGGCTATAGTATTACAGAATTACCGGAAAAAAAGCCTCGGGACCAAGACTATTGCTGATATCATGACTATGGCTAACCTTGCCAGGCCAGTCGTTACCGCCTACGAGAAATTGATATCTTGCGACGATTCTCATTGATAATGGCCCAGAATTCATAGCTGTGGTTTATAGTTATCCTACGGTGAACCTTCATGTTGGACCGATTCTCGGGATCGATCTCCCTGCATTTTTAATATAGTATGACTGTCCTTGTTATAGGTCTAAAGGTCCTCGCCTGCAGCCAGCTTACGCCACTCGTCTCGAAAACTCCTAAGAAGATTGAGTATTTAGTACGTTGATAATATTATTCCGATGAAATACAATCAAGCTCTCCACTTTCCTTAACTTTTCTTTCTTTTACAAAATATTTTATCACAAATTCGAAGTTGTTTTCTTAATTCGCATTATCTTCTACCTCGATTAAATCATTTAAATTTTAAGAACCTCAAATTTGTCAAAGCAATAACAACTCCTCAATAACAACTCCTACTTGTGCTCACTTTACAATTGTTCCAATGTGTTTCCGGCAAGCTTACGCATACAGAAAAAGTTATATACCTTGAGAAGAAATATTTTTATATTCTGAGTTATCCATGATATGTATATATAAATGTACTTCCTCATCTGTTCTTACAAAGAAACACCTCTAACCTGAACTTACCGACTTCAATATTGTTTTGATATTATTATAGATCATAGAAAAACAAGAAGACGTGTTTTTTTCATTTCCAGGAAAACTATTTGAGGGGGTAAAATTGTTCCTCAAAAATAAATTTGGCAATGCATTTCAAATTCTGATTGATATTTTACAAATTTCATTTCACTTTTTATGTAAATGCGGAGTTAGTGCATGAAGTTTCGATCATAAGGGATGCAATCCTTATTTTTTCTATTTAAAATCATACCTTTTTCATACTTATTTTTACGAAATCAAATTCAAAATTACCCCAAAAAATGAGCGATGTTTTGTACAGAAAAGTTAAATTATGTAGGAAAATATTAATTCAGATAAGAAACCTAATTTTGATGATAATGTTAATTATAAGTGAACAAATTATAGGATTCGCAACTATAATCCATGTATACGAGTATACAGTGGCAGCCAATTAGCCAATGGCTTTCGCTTACCTAAAACGGAATTATTCAAAACTTAGAAGTTTTATATGTAGGTCAACAATGAATGTACAGAGACCAGTGGCAGTGCATTTGAAAGCTCTTGAAATCGTTATTTTACTAAATAAGTTGTTTTTAATATTAGTCTTAAACATATGTAAATTTGTTTATCAATTATATTAACTGTGTATAATAAATAGTTCTAACATAATAATAATATCATTATTAATAAATAACATTGAAATAATGATTGTGTTTTGGAAAACTATTGTTCTATGGTGACTATATAGATATAAAAACTTTATCAACAATACAATGTTGCTTTTATGTATATTAAATGTGACAAAGGGTCAATGCCACTTGAAACAATAAATTTATACAAATATTAAATATTTGTCATTGATCATAGTACCATTCATATGTAATATAATTACACCAGCATGCAAAAAAAGTGGTCTGTTCAAGAAACCACACCTATCTATCCTTACGTATTTTGACGCGCTAAATCCGAATCCGAGATTGGTTTTGCCCAAACACCCCTCAAAACTTTTTTTAAATGGCGAAAAACCGTGAAAAATCGAGGAAAATTGTGAAACTTTGCATTTAAGAGCAATTTTAGTTACAATATATTTTTTGTGAGTATCTTATATATGATTTATCTCAATTTTAGACGTCTAAAATAAGATCTAGTGAGTATTAACTTTTATATCCCTACAATATTGAAAAATGTCAAAATCTTGTAAAACCGCTTAAAAAATAATAATATTGTGAGAAAGGAAAAAACATTTGTCTGCAAATAGAACACGAATTTGAAAACCATCAAACATACCTTCTTTTAATTCAGCGTCACTTATTGCGGAAAACTTTTCTCCTAAATACTTGAAACAATCCCCATCTTTATTGAGAGCTTTTACATACTGTTTCACAAGACCAAGTTTGATATGAAGTAGAGGAAGCAGATACTTTGATAGATCAATCAATGGTGGGCGTATAATGTTCTTCGACCCTGGTTTAAAATCTGCCGTAGTTAACCATATTTTTTAAACATAGTGACTCTGCCTGTCTCTGCTATCACACAAATATAAGAAGCAGGGATTTTTTAGTAAAACCTGATTATTGTATTAATATTATGGTTGCAATTTTCAAATCGTCACAAACTTTTCATTGATATTCAGAGTATTTAATTTTTTGCAATACTATCTCTAAATTTTCATAAGTTTCCTTTAGTTTAGTTGAGTGAGCTATAAGAATAAATGCAAACTTATTTCCGTTCTGAAGTAAAACAGCTTTGAGACTTCGTTTCGATGAATCAATAAAAGTAAAAAATGGACTGTGTTCATGGTAGATAATGGATTAGCCATGAACCTAATCAAATGCAGCGCACTAAGTTGGACCACGAGATTTGATCCTAAGGAAGTCAATACCTTAAGTGGTACGAGTATAACGGCACATACCATTCCAACCATAGGTACAGCGAGACTAACCATAAATGGAAAGGTTGCAAGATTTCACATAGTATAGAATAATTTTCCTATTGAGGAGGACGGAATGTTAGGCAGAGACTACCTAATGGATACCAACGCTGTAATTTCGTATCATCATAGTAGCCTAATGATGAATAACGACGTAATTAATGCGGTACCATTTTTACGGAATAATATGCCTATCCACCGATTACAAGACGATCTAATACAAACTATGAGTATCAATGTTTGTGAAGACGATGTATCGGATGCTGATACTGCAGCGGATATAGATAAAAAAATAGAACTTGCTTCTGAAGAAAATGGGAGCAGTGAAACTAGAAATAGTGAGAAAGGACTGCCGGTCGGTATAGTAAGATACACCTTAGCGCCGAGGACCCAACAAGTTATACAGATTAACTTGGTAAAGAGTACACTCTTGGAAGGGTATCTACCTAGGATAGACGTGGGTGATAATAAAGTCTTTCTTGGGAAGGGCGTAGTTATCAATGACCATGAGAGCTGTGAAATTATGGCTATAAACACCCATGACGAGGGAGAAACAACGATAGAAGTGGATCCGAAGGAAATTATTCTATTTGACTACTATAAATTTTCCAGCGACATCAACTGGGACCGGAAAAGTAGCATCCACGGATCTGCACAAGCTATTGATAAATTTAAGAAATGACGTAATAAGTTGTTGCAATTGATAAGGACAGGATATCTTTGCCTGAGCGAATTCCAAAGTGTGAAAAGCTTGTTAAAATTTTTAAAAGTAAAAAAGCTTGTTAAAATTACTTTCCGGAGGACCTCTTCCGTGTACTAACTTGATAGAACACGAAATTATTATTATTATTATTATTAACCAGAGTGACATACATTAATAACATACATCCATCTTACATAGTATGTAATCCAGCAGAGGAATTTCTTCCTGTTCGCTGGTCCGGCATAAAAATACATAATATAAACAAAAACTAACTTAAAACTAAAAATTTGGATACAATGTAATACTATTTATTTTATTTTATTTTATTCTGCTTACGCTACATTAGCTTTGAGCTGACGTAACAAGCAGAAATTGCACATATATAATTTTTGTCACTAAATTACCAGTCTTTATTTGACATTTGTTTGGCTGTTTTGTAGTATCCTGTAGTCGCATTTTTATTTTTTCAATATATGACACGTTCAAAATTGTTTCTTGCTGGACATGTTAGTCTAATTGCACAAGTTTCTCTATAGTGTGGAAAAATTTCTTTATGTTGAATGATAGTAGTACATTGGCATGATGATGTGAAAACAATATCATCAACAAGAACTATATCTAGATATTTTGGTTCTAATTGTAATGATAAAGTGAAATTCTTGAATGTTTGTATTACTTGTGTTCCTCTATCGAAATACAATAACGCTTTGTTGTTTTCAAGGTAGTTGATCTCCCCGTACGTCATCCTGATACAGTTTTATTGCTGTATAGGTTTTCCCGGAGCTGATGGTGATTTATGTGTCAATGCTATAATTTTATTTGTTTCAGATATTTTGTCTATTTCGTCAAATATTTGTTCAATAGGCATATTTTTATCTGGATTTGGTTTTGACTCTTGTTGCGTGGCTTTGGAAAATTTAATTAGTTTTTGGGACGCAGAAAATCGCGTTTCTAATATTATTTAGTTAAGAAAAGATTTTGCTTATTTTTGTATTTTGTTCAGTTCTACCATGGTTTTAATCTGCATTTTTTTATAGTTGAATTGTGTTATTCTCCTATGTGATCTTTTATAGTATAAACTGCATAATTTGTTAGCACAAATATATATTCGTACATCTAACAGTAGATTGTTGTGGTATTCGGTTTCCTCGTGAACTTCCGATGTAGAATTCGAATTACCAATAAAGTTAAGTAATTGTCCGGATTTATTTTTGCAATTTATTTTGTTGTGCATATCTGATGTTTCATTATCCATTTTCGTAGGTCTTTTTTTCTGGTAAAGGTTTTGATAATAATTTTAAGGTTATTTGGTAATTTATTAAAAAGCATAATTGCTCTTATGTAGCTATTTTTTATGCTGACTGTACGGGATCTTTTCGGATATTGTAATGTAGCAAATCTATTTCTTTTACCGCTTTGAGTATATTCTTTGCTAAATGTATCATAATGGAATAATAAGCATTCTAGTGAAAAACATTTGTCAAGATTTAGAGGGTATTTGTCTAAAACAAAATAATTTTTGTGTATAATTTTTAGTATTCTATTTTGGAGATTTTGGATAACCTTAATTCTACCTGAATAGGCTCCTCCCCATGCAATAATTCCATATGACATAATACTGTGAAAAAGTGCATAATAAATAATGTTCAGTGTTTCCTTATTCATTATTTGGGATAATTGATATAGAAGATATGTTAAATACTTCGTTTTTTTATAAATATTTTGAAGGTGTAGGTCCCATTTCATATTACTATCAAATGTGACGCCTAGGTATTTAATGTTTTCTACTCGATGAATTAAATTGCCATTAATTTCTATTTTTAGATTCTTTGATGTACTGTTACAGTTTTATACCGGGTGTCCACAACCACCCGTCCACCCCTTTTATTTCTTTAGCAACACGTTTTTAGGAAATATGATATATACGAAAGTTTTAGCAAATCAATCAAGGATTTTAGCGGTGTCCTTTAGTTTGACCTTGA